AGTCTTTGTAAACTCCAAGGTGAGATTTTCTATGAGCAACTGAGGAGCTCCTGATTGCTGAAGGTGTCCACCTGGAGTATTTCTGTTGGGCGTGGCACAAAACAATGTTCTGGGAGGTGCCCACTCTCTCTCAGGTGCTTAGAGTTCTGATGCTATGATTGGCTAGTTTGACCACCCTGCCGGGCTCTAAAGGAGGCCTCCTGGAGGCAGAGCTCTCTCTGCCTGCTGGTGGAGGAAGATGTGCTGCTGAAAGAGACACATGCTCTTGAACGAGACACATGCTGCTAGGAAAGAGACGCAAGAGACACGTATCGCTGAGTGAGACACCAAGGGACCAGCACTGTTGGGAAAGAGACTGTGAGAGACTGTTGGCTGAGGGACACTGGGTTGGGAGAGAGACTGAGCATTTTTCCTGAACTCAAATTGTAGCTTGGTGCTTCCCTAATAAACCCTGTAATCTGTGAGTTCTGTGTGGCCACTGCAGCGAATTATCGAACCCAGAAGAGAGGTGGTGGGTGCTCTGGGAGGAACCGTTGGAGAAAGGGCTGGAGGGAGGCAGCATGTCTGGCCTTGCAGTAATAGGCCTTGGGTTACTGCTGGTAACCCTGTCTTCCTCTTGTGGGATTAGAAGAGGTCAGAACATGTGGCCTCCTTGCTGTTTTTGCAATATGTTATAGCCACTTCTCTAAATTTATTTCACAAAAACACTTTTGTTTTTAATGTCCAAGCAGATTAAAGACCCAGAAGTGAAAATTAAACTTTACAGAAGAAAATGGTATATAATTAACAAGGATTTCTGAAAGTCATGAAAAGCAAAGACTATAAAGGAGAAGTTTGATAAATTCATTATTAAAAGGAAAAACATGTACATAAAAAACACAAACTGAAAAGATAAACCCAGATTAGGAGAAAATACTGGCAGTGCTTAAAGCCGACAAAGGATTAGGCTGCAGAATAAATAATTAGCTTTAAGAAACAACACACACCAAAATTTTAAATGGGCAAAGGGTAAGTACAGTCAATTCCCAAAAGAGGAAACAGAAACAGCCACTAAATATACAAAAAGATGTTCATACAACCTTACCAGTAATAAGGGAAATATTAAAACTATACTGAGTCACCCTATCATATCCATCTGATTAACCAAAATTTTAAAGTCTGACCACATTAAGTGTTAACAAATACAAACGGCATTATTAATCATTTTGCAGAACAAAGGTAAAACCTCCAGAGCAAAGTTACTGAAGTCTGATATGATCCAGCATCTTACTCTAAATATGTATTCCAGGGAAACTGACATGATTGAAAATGTACTCTGCAAGACTCATTCATTATCATGAAACACTGGGAAAAACTTGAATGTCCATCAATAGGAACACTTAACTGCAACATATATACAATGGAATCTATATAGCTATTAAAATAAACCAGATTTTACATGGATTAATATGGGTAAGTCTTCAAATACTGAGAAAAAAGCAAATTATAGAAGGATACATATAGTCTGAAACAATATTATTTTGATTAATGGACATAATGTAGTAAAAGAATAAAAAACAAATGCTATCAAGGTACAAATTAATCAGGAGGAGTAAGATACACCAGGGCTTCAATAATATTTATAGTGTTTTTTTTTTTTCCTTAGTTGGGAATATTTTCTATGCTTTATATTGCTGATATATTTCACTGTTCATTAAAAATGTAAGGAACAACTGCCTACCTTGTGTTGGCAAATAATTTTTCTTATGCTTTTCTACCTGGTTTCCTGAAGACACTGGGCTTTTTTGAAAGCAAATTGATGGCTTCTGTAGTACAAGAGAGAATTTTGAATATAAGTATTAGTCTACATATTAGTACAATGAGTGAAACTAACAGAACTCAGCTAATGATGAGAGTGTTGTAAGTTTTATCATTCATGTTGCTTCCAATTATCACTATTAAATAAAGGTTCCCCACTACTATCTGAAAGTAGAGAGGTTCCTATGAAACCTTCCATTGAATAAAATGGCATTAAGTGAAAAAACCTTTACCCTTACTTTATATGGACAAAAGTTTTGAGTGTTCCCAGATCCAAAAAATAACCAAATCATTCCAAGTAACACATAAAACCTAAAATAACACTAATATACAGTAAAAGTAGGAATGATATGATAAATACATAGCCCATAAAAAGTGAAATTATGAATATACAGTGTAGTTCCTGGGGAAGCAATTTGGTGAAACGACTAGACACTATCACTGCTCATTGTGCACTGCCTCTTTAACGGCTCACTGCAAAACAAACACTGAACTCTAGTTTCACTTTTTCATCAAAGCAAACATCCTCTTCAGATTTCTTATGGTTACCAAAAACAGGTACTAATGTAGGTCTTTCAAAGCTGAGTGGTATAAAGAAAACTTTCAAAAAGCAGGGGATACCTGCACCTACTTTAACTAAAATACCACCAGGACTTCTCTCACATCTATGATTAGGGATAAACTGTCCATACTCTTAGCTAAAGGCCAATCTTGGCACTTACTCACTATATCCTATCCTCTCTCACTCAAAGACACTGCTTCAACAATTCTCCCTACTTTCTCTGCTTTGATATTTTCCTCTCTATTGAATCAATCCCATCAAATATGTAAAAATCTGTTCATTTTCCCATCTTGAAAAAAAAAAAACCAAAATAATATTTCTGCTTCTAGCCATTACTTCCACTTATCTTATATTCACAGTATTGCAAAACTACTCCAAAAAGCTGCAACACTCTGAATTTCTCCTTATTCAGGCGTTTCATCTGCCACACCTCCCAAAAAATATATCTTATCAAGGTCAAAAATTACCTCTACTTGGTAAATCCGATAGTCAATTTTCAGTCCTTATCTTGTCAGCAGCATCTGACACTGTTGATTACTCTCTCCTCCTGGATATACTCTATGTACTTGGCTTTAAGGACACCAATGCTTGGCCTAATTTTCTTCATCCATCTCTGACTGCTCATTCTCCACTCTCTTGCTGGTTCCTCCTTACCTCTTCATCTCCTAATAATTTGGCTCAGGACTTGTACCTGTTCAGTATCTATACTCACAGGTTTGGTGATCCCTCCCAGGTCCATGCTTTGCCACACATTCTGATGACCCCCAAATTTGTATCTCCAACCTGTACCTCTCCAGATACTTGGTATAACTCCCAGGTTTACATCTCCACTTTGTTTCTAGTAGGCATTTCAAACTTACCTTCTCCAAATGTCAACTAATATCCACACTCCATAGAAAAGCATGATCTCTCATTTTAAACAGAAACTCCATTAAGCCAAAAAAAACTAAACTTAAAATCTTTTCTTGCTATCAAACTCCATATCCAATTTATCACAAATACTGTTGACTTCTCCTCACCTCTGGTCTAAGCTATCATCATCTCTGATCTCAGTTATTCCAACAGTCCCCAAACTCATATAGATTGTACTCATACTCCCTCCTTAAATCTATTCTTAAGTCTACAGGAGAAATAGAATGAACTTACTGAAATAAAAATCAAGCCATTCTTTATTCAGAGCTCTCCAGTGGCTCCCCATTTGACTCAGAGTAAAAGCCAAAGTGCTCACAATCATCTATTAAGGCCTAATGTGGGCAATCTACTTCCATAGTGATACCTTCTCGGAAACCCAAGGAGGGTCACTAGGAGTCGGGTCCAACTCAATGGCATATAACAATAACATGATCTGCACCTTCTATCTTCCAAATTTCTAATATCAGTAATTGTGCCTACTCACTCTGCTCCAGCTACATTAGCCTCCTTGCTATTCCTCAAACCCACCAGGTAAACTACTGACTCAAGGCCTTTACACATAGTGTCCAGTCTGCCTGCTATACTTTTTACCCAGGGAACAGCATGACTTCTTCACATTATTCAAATGTCACTTTCTCAGTAAGACCTTCTATGGCCATCCTATCTAAAATTGCAACACCCTTACCCCTCCCTGGCTGCTTCTCCTTAGCTTCTTATTTGTAATCATTCTCTGCCACTAGAATATAAGTTCAATGAGGGCAAGGAATTTTGTCTATGTTGCTCAATGTTGTACCCCTAATGCCTAAAACAATGTCTAGTACATAGTCCTTGTTAATATAGATGAATGAAGTAATAATTATTTGACTAAAAAAGATCATATGCATGTGACACTCTGTAAAAACTTCACTTGACTTATTTTAACTGAGATTATTTGCCTATTGTGGTAAACCCCCTTTATAATAATTATAAAAACTGATTTTAGAACTACCTGTGTAGTAGTGCTCAAACAGTTTAATATCTACCCTGGACACAAAACCCACGGCCCTTCCAAACTTACCACAGATTCATCTTTTCTCATAGTAGTCACACACTGATCTGCCCTTACGCTGTTTTCAACAGCTTCTGCTCTCTTCCAGGAATCTAGCCGAAACTTTTCCATCATTTTTATTTCTTCCCGGAGGTCTGTGTTCTCTTTGACTAACATTTCTATCTGGCTTCTAAGACGGCTATGTGTGCTTGACCATTTTGCTTCTTTTCTTTTCAAATCTTCCTGTAAATCTGCTATCTGCTGTTTTAAAGCCTCCAAAGGAGAATTGGGGGGAAGAGGGGGTGTTACTAAAGTTAAAACAATGCAATATAAGAATAAAGATATATCAATGAAACAGAATATCCAGCCCAAAAAGATACTATCATAAAAATTAAATATGTAATGAAGGAAGTAACACAGACAATAAAAAATAAAGCTTAGTCAATCAATGACATTTCAATAATGTTAAATTTTTCAGAAGAGGGAAGGAGGGGATCATACCCTATAACAAAATTAACTCCAGAAGACAGACACCACTTACAAGCTCACTATAATACTATAATAAGGTAATTAAGGTTTAGACTAAGGTATTAACTGAAAAAGAAAGAAAAGCATAAATGAGAGACATATGATGAACAACAATTAATAGGAATTCATGACGAAGTGAAAGAAGAATTGAGGTAAAGGGAAAAAGAAAAGAGGCCAAATTCAAAACTAGCTGCCCTGCAATTCCTTAAAAAGGTAGAAATATGATGGGTCTCTCCTAGTCCAGAGCAAAGAAGAATGAAGAAAACCAAAGATTCAAGGAAACAATTAGTCCAAGCAACTGGTTGGTACACCATGTGATCCTCAGCCTATACGACTATGAAACCAGAAGAACTAGATCGTGCCCGGCTATGACTATCAACAACTCGGAGGGGGATCTATGTAGGAAATCCTGGATAGAGTGGGAGAACAATGTGGGACAAAATTCAAAATCATTTAGAAAAAGAAAAGGGACAAGGTTTGCTGGTCTGATATACCCTGGTGGAACCCCTGAGATTATGGCCCCTAGCTGCCTTTCAAATCTGGAATTGAACCCACACCTGTGGCTTCCAGGTGAACAAAAAACTGGCATATGAGGTGAACATTTACACTAGATAGATACACTCCTTGGAGAGAACAATCATGGGGGAATAGAAGGACTGTGTAAGCACAGGGACACAATTCAGGGGGCAGGAGTGTATGGAGCAAAGGACATAAGGAAGAGGTAACTATGGGGAGGAAGGGGGAGGGGAGCTGTTGCATGGTGGTAAATTGTAGTCAATGTCATGAGACAAAGTGTATGTAAACTTCTGGATGGAAAGTCAATTTTCTCTGTAAACTTTCACCCAAATCACACACAGACACACCAAAAAAAAAAAAAATTGGAACTAGAAATACCATTTGATCCAGCAATCTTATTACTAGCTATATATCCTAAAGAAGAGAGAACCAGGATATGAACAGATATATGCACACCCATGCTCATTGCAGCACTATTCACAACAGCAAAGTGATGGAAACAACCTAAGTGCCCATCTACGGAGGAATGGATATGCAAGCTGTGGTACTCACATACAGCGGAATACTATGCAACACTGAAGAATGACATAGAATCTGCAAAACACCACATTGATGTGGTGGATGAACTCAGAGGGCATTATACTGAGTGAAATAAGTCAATCACAGAAGGAAAAATATCGTATTAGTCCACTACTGTTAAGAGCCAAAAAAAAGATTTATATATGGAAGGAAACCTTCTCTGTTGGTTAGCAGGGATGGGAGAGGAGGTAGGGAAAGTTCCTAAATAGGTTGAAAAAAAAAACATATATATATATATATATATAAACTAAAGATTATATGTGGTTACCAGGGGTAGTAGGGTGGAGAAAAGGGGAAGCTTTTGTTTGTGGGGTATTGCGTTTATGCTAATGGTGATAGAATATTTTGGAAAATGATAGCAGCAATGGTAGCACAACATGAAAAATGCCATCAATGTCCTTGAGCTGTAAATGTGGAAGTTGTTACATTGGTGAATGTCTTGTTGTGTATGCTTTCACCATAATAAAGAAAAGACAAGACAGTGAAAAGAAAAAAAAAATCCTAGCTGCCCTGAAAACAGATTATATCTGTAATTCAAAAGAAGAACACAGTTTTAAGAAAATAAGTTGCTTTAAGTGGCCTAAATGAGATAATGAAGAAACTGCTGGAAGTGTCTATAAGCATTTTGCAACTGTATAAACAGAAGTCAAAAGTGATTATCAGAAAAGCATCAATAAATATGGATATTCAATTAAGTATATATCTGTTTATTAAGAAAATATTTGTATAGTAGAAAGAATAAAAAGGAGAAACAAAGGGTACTATGAATAACTCAAACAGTACAGAGAAAGGAAGAAACTGTACCAAAAGGGAAAGGACTAATAAATACCCATGGTAACACCCACCAACCAGATCTGAACAGGGGTCCAATACTTAATACCAGAAGTCATACAAAATAACAAAGTAGAAAGAGTGTTCAAGAATGAGTTCCCAAATGATAAAATAGTTTACTATCCTAAAGAGGAAAGCTAACTCACCAACCCAATTCTTACTTTCCGAAGATGAAACCTCTAGGTCAGTGCTGTCAAGGTATCCAAAAGCCACATGTGGCTATTAGCACTTGACATGTGGTTTTAAGAAACAGAATTTGTAATTAATTAAAATAGCCACATAAGGCTAGTAGCCTACTGTGCTGAACAGCACAGACTTAAATACATTATTGCAAGAAAAAGCATTAGGTTGCAAGAAAGTTAACTGTGTTATTCACTTGGGAAAGTAATGTATAACTACAAAAAAGCTCAGTGTGCTCCAGTTTGAATCACCTTGGAAGAAGCTATGAGGCCCTGAACTAGAAGAGAGAAAGAGGGTAAAACAATCTTAATCTTAAAATCTTGAGTGTGAACTTTTTTTTTTTTTTTCTTATATCTGGTAAGATTTTGATAATGTAGCAAGGTATTGAAGTATATACTATTGCTCTAATCCTAAGAGATTTATAAACAACAACAACAAAAAAGAAATGATATACTCATTGTGTGGGTATTTAAAAACAGACTATAGTTTTAAATTGAGTCAAAAGCTGTGTGATAGCTGAAGTGGTTATGTTTTAACTACTATTTAAAGTATCTGAAGTGCTCACAAAAAAGTTATGCTAAATTTGTCACTATAATTCAGATTGTTTAAGAGAAATTCAATGAAGTTTAAAATCCATTTTCAACCTTTTTTACCTATCAGACAGGCAAAGAACAAAAAGTCTGATAACAGTGCACTGTTTAAAAATTGTGGTTCAAACTGACCCACTGGCTCTGCAGTAGAAAGACTTGGCAATCTCTTCTTGGAAAGATTGTTCCTGCTGTTGTTAGATGCCAGTGAGTCAGTCCCAAATCATAGCAACCCAACGAACAATAGAACAAAATACTAACCAATCCTGCACCATTCTCACACTCATTGCCACGCTTGAGCCCATCACCGCAGCCACTGTGTCAGTCCATCCCATTGAGGATCTTCCTCTTTGTCACTGACCTCTATTTTCCACCAAGCATGATATCCTTCTCCAGGGATTGGTCCCTTCTAATAATATGACCAAAGGAGGTGAGATATAGTCTGGCCATTCTTGCTTCTAAAGAGGATTCCTATTGCACTTCCTCCAAGCATAAATGGGAGGCATATGATGAACAGATCCAAGACAGAGTTTTTCATTCTTCTAGCAGACCATGGTACATCCAGTATTTTTTGCCAACAGCGAAGCTCAAATACATCAACTCTTAACTCTTCTTCAGTCTTCCTTATTCATCATCCAGCTTTCACATGCATATGAGACTACTGAAAGTAACATAGTTTTCAAGTGACATGTTTGCTCTTTAACACTTTAAAGAGGATTTTTGCAGGTGAGTGGCCGAATTAAAAAAACAAAACAAAACACTGTCATCAAGTCAGATCCAACTCATAGCAACCCCTCCTTGGGTTTCCAAGGAGGTATCACTATGGAAATACACTGCCTAACCTTCCTTCCAAGGAGTGGCTGGTGGTTCTCTGGTTAGCAGTCAAATGCCTTAGGCACTGTGCCACCAGAGCTCCCGAATACAATTCATCATTTGATTTCTTGACTGTTGCTTCCATGGGCATTGATTGTGCATCCAAGTAAAATAAAATCCTTGACAATTTCAATCTTTCATCCATTTATCATGATATTGCATATTGGTCCGGTTGTGAGGACTTTTATGTTCAGATGCAAGCCATACTGCAGGCTGTAGTCTTTTTCATCAGTAAGTACTTCAAGTTTTCTTTGCTTTCAGCAATTAAGGTTGTGTCATCTGCATATGGCAGGTTGTTAATGAGTCTTCCTCCAATCCTGATGCTGAGTTCTTCTTCAAATAATCTAGCTTCTCATATTATTTGCTAAGCATATAGATTGCTTAAGTATGGTAAAAGGATAGAACCCTGACACACACCTTTCTGGTTTTAAAACATGCAGTTGTCCCTCCTACTTCCCACCTTGTTCTGTTTGAAAGATTGCCTCTTCATCTATGGACAAGTTATTCATGAGCAGCACATTAAGTGTTCTGGAATCCATTCTTTCCAATGTTCTAATGCACACAGTTGAATACCTTTGCATAGTCAATAAAACACCAGTAAATTTCTTTCTGGTATTCTCTGCTTTCAGCCAAGATCCACCTGACATCAGGAATGATAATCCTCATTCCATCCACATGCTCTTCTAAATCTTTCTTGAATGTCTGGCAGTTCTCTGTCAATATACTGCTGCAACAGGAGCTCTGATGGCATAGTGCCTAAGGCATTTGACTGCTAACCAGAAGGTTGGTGGTTCAAACCCACGAGCCACTCCTTGGAAGGAAGGTTAGGCAATCTACTTCCATAGTCATACTGCCTTGGAAACCCAAGGAGGAGTCACTATGAGTTGGATCCGACTCAACAGCACTGTGTTGTGTTTGTTGTATACTGCAACAGTTTTTGAATTATCTTTAGCAAAATTTTACTTGCATGTGATATTGATAATACTGTTTGATAATTTCTGCATTCTGTTGTTGAACATTTCTTGGGAGTGGGCACAAATATGCATCTCTTCCAGTCAGTTGGCCAGGTAACTAACTGTCTTCCAAATTTCTTGGCATAAATGAGCAAACACCTCCAGCACTGCATCCATTTGTTGAAACATCTCAATGGATATTCCATCAATTCCAGGATGCCTGTTT